GTTCTCAACTACTATCTCAAGACTACTATACGACAGAAAACTTTCGCAGGGCCCATAAGAGGGGGGTTAATTTCATCGGAAAATGGCTCGTTCGTTTTACTTATTTTGACTCGACTATTGTATAAGACACGTTTGGCCACATTTTTCAGTTTTTCTTATGGAAAATAAGCTCAAAGTACGAAACAGATTTCACTATACACATATAACGACAATTTTTATCTCTCTTCCTATTTCTTTAACTGTATGCCAAACTTTTCTTTTCTTTTCTTTACTTCTTTTTATTTTTCTACATATCAAAAATATCACAACGTGGCACATGTCTATATATTGTTAACAACAAATTCAAAACCATAAATAATAAAACAAGCAACTCCTTACAAAAACAAATTATTTAATTAACATACACCTACATTAACCTGCATCAAAATATTTCTTGTTCTTAGGGCATCTCCTCAAACCATAAAATGTATTCTGACGGGTTCTTTCACCACCAGTATTGAAACTAAGGGTTTTAGAATATTCTCCTTTTTCTTTTTCTTCTTTACTTTTTTCTTTATCAGCAAGATAAAAATTTTTTCCCGATCGTGGTTTAATCCATTGCTTAATCATAGATGTCCGTTGCGGACTAATCTTTTGACGCTTATTATACGATAAATTGATGATAGAATAAACACTTTCAAGCTTCTTCCTTCGAAACAAATTACTTTCATTATCAAAAATTACGCCTCATCAAATTTAATCGCACACTCGGTATTAGCACTGATGTGTGGTCCTCTCAATTTTTACGGTTAACAGTTTTTTCGCTATCTGCCAGAAAAGTGATATTTCGCACACGTACTCAAGGCGTTAAGAACGGTTAAAAGTAGGGGTCGCAGTAATTAAAATACGCCCCTGACCAAGCCAAAAGGGAACCGTTACTTGGGCAAATTGCACAGCGTGTGAGGACTGAGCGGATATCCGATTTGAGAATATTCGAATGATAAGCGAGAAAAGAACGGATACATCAACGCGCATTTCCAGCTTTTCTTCTTTTCTGTCTTTCTGAAAGATAGTCTCGCAAACCCAAAAGAGTTTCATATAGTAACATTTTCGAAAACCATTTATACGTTTTCGGGAATACTCTTCTTTTTAGACTGTAGTCTGTTGCCGTGCGTATATAACAAAAAAATGAAAAGTGGTAAGATCAACGGAGAGAAAAGTGAAACCGGCACATTCGATCTCTATAGTTCAACTATATTTTCTTGTTTCTATGGACTGTAGGTAGTCAAAAAAGCTAGAAAACTCGACAAACATGCCCCGAAACAACTTTAAATGATGAAGAATCACGATGGACGGTGTCTTTTCTTTGAAACAATTGCTTCACGTCAACAACGCTACGTTCAGCGAGAATAAATGCTACTCAATGAGCGCCGCTGTCTATAAAAAAAATATCTTTGCAACCATCGAACTTCAAAAATGAACTGATGTCAGAAAATGTTTAACTGATAGTCCTTATTTATTATCCCAAACTTCAACTGGATCCATCTGCTGCAAAATACATGACTATGTCTTAATCTCTTTCATAATGTCACTGTGCTTCAATCGTTTTACTGACCAGTCAGTAGAAGGTATACTTAAGTTACAAAGTGACTGACCTGCGCTGTAATTTGACCTTTGAATTGACGGTCTGCCCTAACAACGATGCAATACTGCGGTGTACTATTCGTAAATAACTATTTTGTGTTCAATAAAAAAGATTACGTTCGCTTTCTAAGCTACGCGCGAGAAAAGTGTCGAGAATACCATTCGTAGGCTGCTTCTGAGAGATATTCTGATATGGTTGAAAAATCTTCTTACCCTTCCGAACCTCAAAAATAAGATCTTCAAGTATTAGCCTTTTTCTCTATACTTAGGCAATTAAATTCTTTCGGAAGACGTAGATTCGTAGAGCAAACTTTTCTGGTCAGAGCGAGACAAAGTGCAATTATTTGTGACCTTGATTTAAAAAGTTATAAGCAATTTCTTATAAGCCCTCAATGGGATCGATAAATGCACCATGGTTTTCTCGTAGGTTCGTTTTTTATCTAGTGAAGTGGAAAACTACACACTGGTTGGATACACTGTTTTTCTTGCAAATGATTGATTGAAACACTAAGCAGTGAAAAAATGTTCCTTTCGGTTCATTTACGTCATGTTCTGTAAGAGTAGCATGTCATCGTTCTTTCTCTTGCGATATTCTATGTAAACAATACTTCAAAAGCGGATAAAAGTTTGTGTCTCTTGAAAATAAAAATTCTTTATCTATATGAGTCAGTAGAAGTTTTTTGATGATAGGGCCAGTACAATGATGTTTGCTACAAAGAATACGTCAAGAACCTTATTCTCACTATAAAAACGACCGAAATTCAATAAATGGGGACACCTCCAGGACGTGAGTCTTTGCCTACTTGATTTAAATAAAAATTTCTAGTAAGAAGGTCCGGAAAAGTCTTTGGCAGTCTTAAGACAGCCTGCATTTTAGTTTTTTTGCAAAAGTTCTTTAAAAAATTCTCAAAAAACTTTGATTTTGCTAAAACGAACATGGATTCTTAAGCCAGATACTCCATGTGCAAAACTCAATATTTAAATTTATATCTGCCACAGTTACAGCTACAACAAGTATTACAATCGTGCTCGACGCGTCTTTCAACAGATTTGTGAAGGAAGGATCACATATTTACTCTGGAACATTAGAGAGATCGGAAAACGGAAAACAAATCTTTTGAGAGCAAAGAACAGTACAAATGAATAATAACGCAACAGGTCAGTGAATAACAAAAAAGAAAGATCGTAGCAGACTTAAATTACAATTATTATTGAAGGAAAGAATCAATAAGCAATTAAAATCCCAAAATAAGTAAGCTGACATCTGTTCCTTACCTCGGCTTTTGAAAAAAAGAGACTGCATAATTGAAGAACATCCTTGGTGTTATAGAGAATCAATGCTAGACTTTTGAACTATGTATGAAACAAGAGTCTGTCTCTGTTCACTATCTGCAGCAAACATTTCATCATCGAGCAGCATAGTATGGCTGACTAACTTTGTTGAAGGTTTCAAGGAATGTTTTCGCAACGGGACGGAACAGAAAAGGGATAGATTTTGCCTTCACGACAAAAGGTGCCCTTGGAGTTCAGAAGCAGAAGATCTTTACTATATATTCTATACTGTTATTAAATCAAAGACATGAACTGTGAAAAGTGAAACAATTGACACTGTTATGCCACTCTACGGGGGAGAGGGTTTGGTTTTGATATTTCATAAAATAATATTTTATATGAATTAATTAATGCTAATGCTGATTTATTAATTGATGACCAGCAAGAAGTAACAAGACTGGTATCAAAATTAAATTGTGCCTTAAAGAATGCGTATCAACTATTTGCAAAAGCAGAAATTGCAACTGGTTATCTTCGTGAAATCGCCGACCGTCAGCATCAGAGTATCCTAGGCTAATTGACGAAGAAATTAACGAACAGTCCAAACAAATGACTAGTCCAGATAATTAATTTCAGAAAGCCTTTTATCTCTAGAAGATTATCCAGATAGTCGCTCTTCAATTAGATTGGCTAACCAGTTAGAAACCAAGACTGTTTATAAGAAAGAACAATACTGGTCTTGATACGAATAACTACACAAATTAGAAGGACTTTGCGTTTTTTTTCAGTTTTACTATCGAAAAATACTAAATATAGGTAATTGAGTGTGCTGACTCCGAATTTTTAATGAGTATACTACACTAAACTCAAAATTTAGCTTTTAAACCACGAAACAACAAAAAATATCTCTAGGAAGCCTCGCTAAGCGGTAGCTACACAGTAACTAATTTTTTCTCTACTTTTCAGATGTGATATAATTTTCAGATACCTCGTTATTTTCTGCTATTCCGAGTCTACATTCACAGTAAACAGTTTTACTGCTGTGAGTGATAGGTTATTTATTTATGCTTTTATCTAGAGGTCTAGAACCATTATTCGCCTTGCACTTTTTTGCCAAATTATTCTAACTTTGCTGTAAAGTACAATGAATCCTGCCAACATCGTAGACCGTTTGTCCTGCCGTTTGTACTACCTCAATATAAGATGACCATAAAAAATTCGAATATCTGTAACAATCCCGTCTCACAAGTAAAAAGTCGAATAAAAATATTCGGATTCGCAAGTAAAAAGTCGAATTGAGCGGGAACTTCACAAGTTAGCAAAAACTCGAGGTCAGCACACACAATTACCTATATTTACTATTTTTAGATAGTAAAACTGAAAAAAAACGCAAAGTCCTTTTCCTCTGTATTTCAGATTTTCATCTAAAAACCACCTCAAAATTCCACCCAATACACTCCAAACCAGTTTTTATAGGTTTTGCGATATGCTCTTTCATTTGGACAGATCAGAAAATGTTTTTGGCTTAAAAAGTTTTTGAATCTGGAAACTTGAGTTTGGGTTTTCCAGAAACCGGTTTCTGTCGACCCATCCGCCCAAATGGTTATCATATTTGGATTACCTATTGTCCACTAGGTTTCGGTAAAAAACCGATTAATCACTTAGGGACCTTCCTCGTAAGTTTCACTTTTCCAGGGCTTTTAGAAAGCTTTTCGAAGAATCCTGCGAAATCCTTGTTGTGCACAAAATCAGCATGAAGTTTGAAATTAGACATGTACGCTATCAGAATGTGCGCTTCGATCAATCGAACTGCTAAAAAAGTTTCCTATTTCTGCGCCAGAATGGCCTCAAGTTTCATGAAAGTTTAGCCGATCGTCAATTTTTTATTTATTTTGGATAACATTTGCAAAGTCATTTTACAGCTGTTTTTTCTTATGGTAATTGGAGTTTGTTTAAACGCTTTTCTTACTGGTCTGCGAAATTTTGGAAAATGAATTACTTTGTTTCTAGGTAAATCAAGCATGATGTTGATGTGCATATTTCTGCTTTTGATCTGGTCAGGACAACATGTTCAAAGTCTATATTCAACAGTCAACTTTTCGTCAATGGCCGTGCATGTCTTTTTACCAGCATATACGTCTATCAATCCATTCAGTGATTTGTATACGAAAACTATTTTCCGTATGGATAAAACATTTTTAATGAGAATACCAAAGTTAGATGACAATGAATTTATGTTAAATCTTGCTCGAGGTGTTGATAATATGCCCGGTAAGTTTAATGTAGGTCCTCAAGAAATTCGCTGAATGATCATTTTACATTTAGGGTTAATTCAGCAAAATTCAGTCTTTGACGACAAACTAGATGATCAATTAAGATCACAAGCAGAAATCGAAGAACAATGGGAAGAACTTGTCGTTGCTGGCCCAATAACAGTTAATTACCTTGCTAATCTGATGATACTAGCAAGCCAAAAAGATTTTCCATTTGCACGGCCAACTCCAGATTATGTATTTAAATATATCCGGCATCCATTATCATTTCGTGCTACACTCGCACAAGTCTCGGGTGATGTTTATCAAGCATTTCTCGGGGCGCACACATCCATGGATCAAATACAATTGTTTATGCAGCAGATCCCTGGTCATATCAAAACTTCACTAAAGTTATTAACAACAGCATCACCTCAGTTAATATCAACATTATTACCGTTAACTCTTAAAACCCATCTACTAAAAACGTATATGCAAAAGAATCGTTCAAACTACTCCACTGTAATAGTGACTCCTCCTTCCCTCTGTATTATAGTTATAGTGAACACTATCGTGGTAGTATTGAACGTATTGCAAATGATTGTGTTAAATTAGCTAATCAAACAGTTAATAAATTCGATAATCTAATGGCGTTGTTACAAGAAATAATCGAAATAAGTCTTGGTACAGAGACAGCTAACCAGAATGCAATAAATGGAATAAATGCATTAATCAATAGTTCACACCATGATCGAGAGTTATTAGAATTTGAAATCCAACAAATTCAGCAAGGATATCAAGCAGCACAACAAGCTTTAAAAAAAGCACAAGAAGATTATGCAGCAGCATATCACGCTATACCGACGCTAAGATTCTGGTCAGCACTGGGTAATTTTATTGTTGGAGCTGTGAATGTCATCGGCGGTATTCTAGGAATTTTTGGAGGCGGCGGAGGAGATAATAACTTGGCGTTTGAAAATGCAAAACAAAAGGCCGAATTAGCTTACAAACAACTAAAAGAAGCTGAAGCACGTTATGATATTCATTATCAACAATTATTACAAAAACAAAATAAAATGGTTAATATCATCTTGGAAATTTCAAAATTAAATTTGGACAAAATCGATCCACAAGAAATAATTAGAATACTTGTTAGTGCAACAAAAGAATTGTCAACCATTCAAAAGCAATGGGATAAATTGATCAGGTTTTTTAGAGCATTATCCAGTCAAGCAGAGAGTACTCAAAAAGTTGTTGTACACGAATTCGTCGGCGTTATACAAGCTGTACAACAAAGTGGTGGTGTTCTAGATGAAGCTGATCGTGAATTTTATGTGATGTTACTAGTTGAAACAGCTGCTGTTATTGATCGAGGTGCACATTTATTGTTTATTATGTCAAGAACATATTACGACATATCCGCCGAATATATGATGAACCAAATAGCTGCTATATCTGGGTTATTAACAATACAAACAAATGGTGAAAGAGAACTATTACTTCAACAATTGGGAAATAACACATTACAAACATCAGCAAAAGTTTCCAGATTAGCTCAAACACGTAAACAGCAGTATGAAGAACGGAATCAAGCACGACAAGATGAATTAGCCAGATTTATTCAACAGTCTACTTTGGATGAGTTAGAATCTGTGGTAGGATGATATATTAGTAAAACAGAACAGTTTCTATGATTTACTTTTGTAGTTTTATTAATGTCACATGAGAATATTAAATAATAAGGACCATACTCCCGAAATAATAAACTAAAGGGTTAATCAGAACAGAAATGTGTAAAACTGATCATAGTCTAGAAGTCAATGTCTCTCCGAAAACATTTACTGCTACATAAAATTGGCAAAACAGATCATTCATTAGAGAATTAGGTGCTCGTGTCACGACAGTGAAGAACTCATATTGTTCTTTCGAATTTGTCGCCGTTCGACAGTTCTACTTTTCGACAGACAGTTTTCGACACTGTCAGATTTTTCGCTCGAAATTCGACAGTGTCGAAAAGTGTTTCTGTCGAACTGTGAAATTACCCTTTCGCACGTATTATTATTACCATTAATCATGTCAAAGAGCTCTGCCGGGAGATCTGAAAAGTTAATAGCTGATAACTACATATCGCCTTACAAAATATATACGAAACAAGATTTTGAACTATCGTACAACAATTACTGATTTTGGCATTGATAACACTATGCAGGCATTATGCATCAATGCTTATTATAATCTCATTCTGACAGGGACTTAAAAGTTATTGAGAACAAATTACTGCGAGAAATAATAAAACAGCGCCGCATTATTGTGAATAATGGTAACTAATAGGAATAGTAACTGGAGTTCTGAGTGGTCTTTTAGTATATTTACTATAACTCGGAAAGGAAAAGAGATAAAAGCTATCTAGATAAGAGCTATCTCAGAAATGCTCTTATATACCTTTGAAAAAACTGTAAGTCTGATCGGATGATTTTTTTTAATGAGGCGTCTTGATGTTCTGACTTGATATTGTCGGCTTCTGGATTTCTAGAAATCCTGACGCCCAGTATATCAAGTCTTGGATTTTGATCAAAAATTTTGCAAACGATACAGCCTTATAGAGGAAAGGGTTCTGACGTGAGCAAAATAAGATGCCTCCCAGCTCTCAATGGAGCTTTTTTCGCCGACCTACAGTCGATTTACGAATGGTCAGAAAGGATCAAACTCACCAAATTCTACGGAAATGGATAATGAATAAGGACTATCAGCTAAACATTTTCTGAAAGTTTCATTTTTGAAGTTCGATGGTTGCAAAGATATTTTTTTTATAGACAGCGGCGCTCATTGAGTAGCATTTATTCTCGCTGAACGTAGCGTTGTTGACGTGAAGCAATTGTTTCAAAGAAAAGACACGCAAACTACTGGCAAATTACCAATGGTACAACGACGAACAGAACACATGAAAATATTCTTAGTGAGCTCCTTCGATATTCACACAACGAAAAAATACATATCACTGTCGCGTATAGCGAAAGATATGTGGCACTTTCAATAATCATATAATCTCTGCAACTACATCTGCAATCTTTTTGTAATCTACATGCCTGACTTGAACGTGTTTTCATGAATGAATAACTAACAGTTCGTTTCGAAATGTGTTAAAATTATTAAGTCAAGACGCATCAGAATCACTGTTTTTGACAACATAAGTAGATTCGTCTAGTAATTGTCTTAAATCAAATACTTTAATAAATCTGAAACATGAAAAATATATTTCATTTAGAGAGATGCATGACTGTCAAGGTGGCATGAACTTGAAGTAGGAACGATGATACACAACGTTCTTTATTCATTTTGACCTGGTAAAGTATTTTTTATTGAAGTTTTCCGCCAATTTAAGGTGTAATAATCATTTCTGTTATATTTATTTTCAAAAATTGACATAACTGTGAAAGTACTTGATGATGCACATCTTTAATTTTAACACTTAGAATATAATTTTATTTTAATGGAAGTTACAGTAAATTCGAATAGCACTATGAAACTAATGAGTTAACTGTTGCTGTTTTATACATGCTTTTGAAATAATACTATGCCATTTTATTATGTGACTGATCGCTATTTTTTGCCGAACTCATAGGCAAATAGTCGACGTTTGAGCGTATAAAAAAACGAAAAAAGATTTATATGGTTAAATAATAAAAATGCCTGATAGAATTAATTTACTATTTAGGAGGAGTCGAGAGAAGTAAATAAACCCAAATCAGCGTTGGAAAAAGATGTCAAATAGGAACAGCAAATGTCTTATCAGCCACGATCGCAGAATTTTTCTTTCTTTAAATATTAATAATTCGCTCGAGAAAGTTCTTCATGTAAAACTATCAGAATGTTTCTTCGAGAAACGAATTTTTTCTCCTAATAAGCAGAAAAAAGAAATTAAGTACAATCGATGCTCTTCTTTATGTTACTAGCCTCATTCATAATTTTACATATTTTAGGAGCTACGATTGATTTGTTTACTCTGGCAGAAAATAAAACAAAATAAACGTTTCGAATCTATCAATTCATCGCCAATATAATAAGAACTACAGTATTAATGTGAAAACGAAAATATGAATAGTTCTTCTATTTTCGGTATATAATATACAAAAAACTGTTATTCTGTTTTTCTGTTCCATATACCTCGAGAAAAAAAACCTGTCATCACCTTCAGCTTATTCTTTGTCTTCTTTCTATACATTCCTTTACTAGAACATCTTTTCCCAATCCTGATTTGGCTTTATATTCTTCCCTCGATAGAGGTCTGCGGAACCAAACGTTTTGGTCCCGGTCCCATGGAAAGAACTCATTTTTGGTCCCGGTCCCGTGGTCCCGTAAATATTTTTTCAAAGAAATTTTTTTACTTGATACAAAACTATTTTCAAAAAAACCTTATCGCGGTCCTATTAAAAGTTTCACGGGACCGGGACAATCCCGCAGGAGCGGGGCCGTCCCGCAGACCTCTAGGTCCCGGTCCCATAAAAAAGATTTTTCTGCGTCCCGATCCCGTAAAAAGTCCCGCGGGACCAGGACTGAAACTGTCCCGCAGACCTCTACCCCTCGACTCTTCCCGAATAGAATAATTGATTACTGGTCGTTTAACTATTCGAGCACTGCGTCATAAATCAATTTGATCAGGCATTTTTGTTATTTAACCATATAAAGTCTTTTTTCGTTTTTTGATACGCTCAAACGTAGACTGTTTGTCTATGATTTTGGCAAAAAATAGCGATCAGTCACATAATAAAATGGGATAGTATTATTCCGAAAGCATGTATAAAAAAGCAACAGTTGTTCAACATTAGTTTCATCGAGCTATTCGGATTTACTCTAACTTTCGTTTATTAAATGAAGAATTTGACTAAATACGAAATATGACAGCACGAAACAACTATCTGAAACAATTTGTCGATGCGTTCATTAGCACATAGTTAAATCAATTTTATGAGGAAAATACCAACATTTCAATTGAAAATCATATTAAAAATTTAACGTTGATCAAAATATA